CCCGTATCTAATGATTTTGTAAATATATTTACGAGGGGTCCGCTTATCTGTTCCTTACACTCTTTCAAAACTCAAGGGGAAATTTCATCCGGCCCTGGGGATTTTGTCTTCTTTAGTTTATTTATCTTCTTGGGAACATATTCTTTTCTGATAGTGATATTCTATAATTTCTCTTCTTCATTTCCCCTTAGTTCCACCTCTGGAATTTCCTCGTGAATTTCTTCTGTGAAAACTGATAAGAAGTAGCTGTTTAATGCTTTGCTTATTTTCTCACTATCATTGAATCACTTCCCCTCTCTCTGACTTTAAGGGTCCCACTTTGTCCTTGACCTTCGTCCTATATACCTGGAAAAATTCCTTGGGATTCGCCTTGGATTCTCTTGCTATCCTGATTTCATAGTCCCTCTCTGCCTTCCTTACATTTTCTTAACATTCCTAGATAGTTCATTATACCTATTTCTAAGCTGCTCCTCTACTCCCTTTAATTTCTTATAAATTCCTTTCTTTATTCCTATGTCATGTTTAAGTTTTTTGTTGTGTGTATGTGTGTGTGTGTATATATATATGTGTGTGTGTGTGTGTGTGTGTGTGTGTGTGTGTGTGTGTGTGTGTGTGTGTCCTTGATGATTCGTAACAACAACGGCTTGAGGTTATGCAATTATGGTACAGTGTTTTAGGTTGGTACAAGTCGTGATGGTACAGTGCTATAGGTTGGTACAAGTAGTGATGGTACAGTGCTATAGGTTGGTACAAGTAATGATGGTACAATGCTATAGGTTGGTACAAGTAATGATGGTACAGTGCTATAGGTTGGTACAAGTAATGATGGTACAATGCTATAGGTTGGTACAAGTAATGATGGTACAGTGCTATAGGTTGGTACAAGTAGTGATGGTACAGTGCTATAGGTTGGTACAAGTAATGATGGTACAGTGCTATAGGTTGGTACAAGTAATGATGGTACAGTGCTATAGGTTGGTACAAGTAATGATGGTACAATGCTATAGGTTGGTACAAGTAATGATGGTACAGTGCTATAGGTTGGCACAAGTAGTGATGGTACAGTGCTATAGGTTGGTACAAGTAGTGATGGTACAGTGCTATAGGTTGGTACAAGCAATGATGGTACAGTGCTATAGGTTGGTACAAGTAATGATGGTACAGTGCTATAGGTTGGTACAAGTAGTGATGGTACAATGTTATAGGTTGGTACAAGTAATGATGGTACAATGTTATAGGTTGGTACAAGTAATGATGGTACAGTGCTATAGGTTGGTACAAGTCTTGATGGTACAATGTTATAGGTTGGTACAAGTAATGATGGTACAATGTTATAGGTTGGTACAAGTAATGATGGTACAATGTTATAGGTTGGTATAAGTAATGGTGGTACAATGTTATAGGTTGGTACAAGTAATGATGGTACAGTGCTATAGGTTGGTACAAGTAATGATGGTACAGTGCTATAGGTTGATACAATTAGTGATGGTACAATGTTATAGGTTGGTACAAGTAATGATGGTACAGTGCTATAGGTTGGTACAAGTCTTGATGGTACAATGTTATAGGTTGGTACAAGTAGTGATGGTACAATGTTATAATAATAATAATAACAATAATAATAATAATAATAATAATAATAATAATAATAATAATAATAATAATTAACGGTTTATTGAAAGAGCTTGGCAGCCAGAAGGCTGAAAATATACAGTTACATAATTGGGGAATGTATTTCGAATTGCAAACAATATACAAATAACATAAGTGATATAAATAAGGTATAACTTGATGGGGAAAAGTTCAAACTATAGGGCATTTCAACATAGTGACAGTGCAAGAAGTAGTATTTACTGGGAGTGAATACACTGGTTTATTACAAGTTATTGATAATTTTTACAATGGTTGGGACTGGGCTGTTCTTATAGCGATCAGTTCGTGCACGTATGGGCTGGATGCGGTTGTGGTGTCGAACAGCAATTCTCGGGCTAGGGATCTCAGGTGGTAGTAGGAGCCGGTGTCTAGGATGGTGCAGAAGCTTCTTACCAAATTTGCAGATGAGGTCGTGGTGATGGTCAGTGAGAGTCGAAAGGGTCAGTGTGTTGAGCGCTTCTTGATATGTGGAGTAGGAAGGGGAGAGAATAATCTTGCATGTCCTCTTTTGCACTTTTTCTAGGTGTTTACGTTGTGTGGCATTTAGGGATGAAGACCAGGTAGGGGAGGCATAGGTGAGCTTGGGAAGTATGAATGTTGAGTAAACACTGAGGAGCTCGGGTGCAGGAATTCCGAGGGACTTGAGTCGGCGGAGGAGGTGGAGACGGAAACTGGAGGATTTGACAACTTCACTGACGTGTGGTTTCCAATTTAGTTTGTTGTCTATGGTGACGCCGAGGAGCTTCGTGGAATCTACAACCTGGAGTGTGTTCGGACCTAAATTAATGAAAGGAGAGGTTGATGAGCATAACCATGGTCTTGGCATGGTTGATGGTGACGTGGTTGTTGGTGGCCCAGTTTTGGAGACTGTTCAATAAATCCTGAAGGGCGGTATAGTCGGGAGCAGAATTGTTGACGCTGATCCCAATGGTGGAGTCGTCGACATATTTCCAGCGAGCGGGGGTTTCTCTTAGGGCATCATTGATAAGCATAAGGAAGCAGAGTGGTCCCATCTTGGTGCCTTAGGGGACGCCACAGGTAAGTGACTGAAAGGTGGAGACAGCCCCTCAGAAGCGTACAGCTTGGCGTCGGTCACTGAGGAAGTCTGTAAGCCATGGTATAAGACTTCTCCGAAGCCCGAGGTCAATAGCTTTGTTGATGATTATATTGTGGTCGACTAGGTCGAATGCTTTAGTGAAATCAATGAAGGCGACAGCTACAGACGTTTTTCGTTTCTCGAGATGGCGGTATATGTAATCGAGAAAGCTGACAAGACAGTGAGTGGTGGAGGAAGTTTTCATATTGCTAAATTGCTGAGGGTCTACAACTCCTGCAATATCAGCATAAGCCAAGTAGAACACAAAACTTTCACAGGTTGGTACAAGTAATGATGGTACAATGTTATAGGTTGGTACAAGTAATGATGGTACAGTGCTATAGGTTGGTACAAGTAATGATGGTACAGTGCTATAGGTTGGTAAAAGTAGTGTTTGTAAAATGTTATAGGTTGGTACAAGTAGTGATGGTACAATGTTATAGGTTGATACAAGTAGTGATGGTACAATGTTATAGGTTGGTACAAGTAATGATGGTACAGTGCTATAGGTTGGTACAAGTAATGATGGTACAATGTTATAGGTTGGTACAAGTAGTGATGGTACAATGTATAGTGATGGTACAGTGCTATAGGTTGGTACAAGTAATGATGGTACAGTGCTATAGGTTGGTACAAGTAGTGATGGTACAATGTTATAGGTTGATGTACAATGTTATAGGTTGGTACAAGTAATGATGGTACAGTGCTATAGGTTGGTACAAGTAATGATGGTACAATGTTATAGGTTGGCACAAGTAGTGATGGTACAGTGCTATAGGTTGGTACAAGTAATGATGGTACAAGTAATGATGGTACCATGTTATAGGTTGGTACAAGTCGTGATACAATGTTATAGGTTGGTACAAGTAATGATGGTACAATGTTATAGGTTGGTACAAGTAATGATGGTACAATGTTATAGGTTGTTACAAGTCGTGATGGTACAATGTTATGGTTGGTACAAGTAATGATGGTACTGTTATAGGTTGGTACAAGTAATGATGGTACAATGTTATAGGTTGGTACAAGTAATGATGGTACAATGTTATAGGTTGGTACAAGTAATGATGGTACAATGTTATAGGTTGGTACAAGTAATGATGGTACAATGTTATAGGTTGGTACAAGTAATGATGGTACAATGTTATAGGTTGGTACAAGTAATGATGGTACAATGTTATAGGTTGGTACAAGTAATGATGGTACAATGTTATAGGTTGGTACAAGTAATGATGGTACAATGTTATAGGTTGGTACAAGTAATGATGGTACAATGTTATAGGTTGGTACAAGTAATGATGGTACAATGTTATAGGTTGGTACAAGTAATGATGGTACAATGTTATAGGTTGGTACAAGTAATGATGGTACAATGTTATAGGTTGGTACAAGTAATGATGGTACAATGTTATAGGTTGGTACAAGTAATGATGGTACAATGTTATAGGTTGGTACAAGTAATGATGGTACAATGTTATAGGTTGGTACAAGTAATGATGGTACAATGTTATAGGTTGGTACAAGTAATGATGGTACAATGTTATAGGTTGTTACAAGTAATGATGGTACAATGTTATAGGTTGGTACAAGTAATGATGGTACAATGTTATAGGTTGGTACAAGTAATGATGGTACAATGTTATAGGTTGGTACAAGTAATGATGGTACAATGTTATAGGTTGGTACAAGTAATGATGGTACAATGTTATAGGTTGGTATGGTACAATGTTATAGGTTGGTACAAGTAATGATGGTACAATGTTATAGGTTGGTACAAGTAATGATGGTACAATGTTATAGGTTGGTACAAGTAATGATGGTACAATGTTATAGGTTGGTACAAGTAATGATGGTACAATGTTATAGGTTGGTACAAGTAATGATGGTACAATGTTATAGGTTGGTACAAGTAATGATGGTACAATGTTATAGGTTAGTACAAGTAATGATGGTACAATGTTATAGGTTGGTACAAGTAATGATGGTACAATGTTATAGGTTGTTACAAGTCGTGATGGTACAATGTTATAGGTTGGTACAAGTAATGATGGTACAATGTTATAGATTAGTACAAAAAAGTATAACCTTTCCCCTTCTTTAAGGAATTGTCTAGACTTTGATTTTAGGAAAGACTGGGTCATATGACAGACTGTTGTTATTCAGCACAATGCACAACAATACTTTCCAGATTTTAAGATTTTACTGTTCACTGATGTCTGAAATGAACAGAGGAGTGAGAAAAAAGCGTAAGTTGCAGATAAGCCCAGATTATATATTATAAGCTTGTTATAATTCAAGACTGAGTCACACGTTAATAAGCTTAAATTACATGTTATCAGCTATTACACATTATGAACACCATATAAGCTTGAATAACACAATCTAAGCTTGAAGAATACAATTAGCCTTTATAAATACATAATTAGCTTGATTTACACAATATAATGTTGTTTTGGACCTAATAATACTGTGGTGTACATTATAAGCTTTGAGTGACGCATTAAAGGCTTACGTTACATATCACTACATATTAAAAGCTTAATTCACATATTATAACCTTGAGTCACACACATCATGAGGAAGGAAAAGAATTAGGACATAGATAAATATATACATGAGTCTAGTTATATATAAAGAAAAAGTGCTATTGGCTCAAATGTAATGTACCCAAATTCTAATAACACCCCAATTCCAGTCTCATCTACGTTTATTGTTGTCATGTAGAAATATCACCCATTATTAACTAACTATATGCATTCATTTGTATTCACCTCACTATTACGTTTAGTGTAAGTTTGGCAGTCACATCATCAAGGACCATTTAGTCGTGTCAGCTACATCACTTTCCTCTACTTTTTATAACTTTAATAATCCTGCTGGCGTGAGGATGGCTTTCGGGTCTACTGTATACTTCTTTTCAAGTTACTCCCAACTCCCTTGACATCTTGTACTTCCACTGAAATTTTAATTGCTCTCACCTCTGCAGTCCTTCACTTCACAGTACCTGCTCCAACATTCTCAGTCTTCACTGTATCAGTTTTCTAGAAGTTGTTGTTTCTATTTATATTTACTTTTGTTGTTGTTTACATTCTATTAAAAGAACTTTGTTTAGCTTCAGTTTCTTCTCTTCCTCTTGACTTTACGACACCGTAGCCACAAGTGACTGATCTCACTCAATTAAAACAAACACCTGTACTTCCAAAATGTGAAGCATGTCATCTTCAGGAGTAACTCTCTGAATGGAGACGTACCTAGCGTTGACGCCTTCCTTGTTGTAGCAGGAGAGGTGCATCATAGCGGATTTATAATATTCATTGTACACGGCGAACAGCGAGTAGGACGAAAAGTTGCCAGACGTCTCAAGAACTTGGCCCAGACGAATCTGAAGTATACACAGACGCTGTAATACAAGTGTGACATGCTTCATTAAACACCAAGCAGCAAGGGAGAATTAATGTTTAACCCTCAAATATATTCAGGTTCTGTAATGTTGTCTGAATGTTCTTATAAATCCTCGGTGAAGAAATGTTTCCTGAAATGTGTATAATAATCCCAATTTACAAATATATAACAGATATCTGAGTACAGCACACCAGTGTAACTAGATAACCACATGACGTGCACAATTGATGAATTATCTGAAGAAATATTAACTACTCCAGGCCGGCACCCTTTGTTCGGTACGGTCTAGGTATATGACAAAATCACTCGAGTCACGGAACTCCTAAAAAAAGGTTTGATTTCAGGGCCCTGTTACGGATTAGAAACCTCTAGTTAGTAAAGTTAGGATTAGGACCTGGTATCACTTGTAATGATAAAGGTTCACTGATAAGAACAAATATGTCACATAATGAGCAAATAAGTGTAACCTAAGAAGCATATTAGGCTGAAAAATTCACTTAGATGAAAGAGTTAAAATACTCAAAGATCACCACACCATAGGGTAGTAGATACGAGGCTGAGATTTGGCGCTGGAGAGGGCAGGGGGATCCACACACACACACACAAGATGAAGGAAGAAATAAACAAGGTAGGAAGAGAGAGAGAGAGAAGTGACTGCGTCGGGAGGTAGAACTTATACATGACCCGCGCGAGTATTTCGGGGCTTGTGACGTCACATTTTACTCCACGACGATGATTGGCTGATTAGTGACGCTTTTTATGTAAAAACTGGGTCTATGAGGTCGGCGGGGACGTGAGGTAAGGGGGTCACTGAGTTTGTGTGAATACAATTTTCCCACCATGTGTCAGCAAGATGTGACATTCCACATGATCCATCCTTAAACCAAAGGATGTAATGTGATAGTAGTGGAAGTTTTCGCAACCTCGATATGACGTGTGAGTGGGTAGAGTATCACCTGCCACTATGTCCTGCAAGTATTGAGTCTGAATCACAATCTACGGATATTTCAGTTAAAACTAATGGATTATGTCTTGTGGTTAAAGTCAGCAACATTAGCCATCTGAGCGATACCTTTGATGCAGTAGACGTGTGGCTAACAAAGGTTGTTGTGGAAGGTGTCACAGTGTATTTAAAATGTCTGTAACATTGTAGTGATGACGCCACATTATGACTCCTCGACCATTTTAGTTATTGTTAAAATGAATTGAGTGTTTTAACTCAGTTCTGCAGCGTCTAACCTTGGCTTACCAAAGTGTCCTTAGATAATTAATTGACTAACCTCAATGTGGTGAAACCTAAAACTGTAGTAGCCAGGTCGGGGAAGGATCCTGACGTGATGAATATCACGGTTGCGTCCGAGATCCACCATCCACCAGGGAAACACCCAACCTGGCTTTGAATGGTACATAGTGGTATCATTCCGGTCTGTGGCCTTTCCTGAATCATCTCTATGTGGAGACAAAACTGTTAGATTGATTTTCATTTTAGCTTTAAGAGTTTCAAGGTAATAGTCATATATAACGAAACATGCAAACAGAATATTCCACAAAGAAATCTTACGTAGCTGCATAAGGACTGGAGTAAGTTATTTTGCCAGTAGTGATCTCTTCCAGCATGTCTGGGGTGACAGAACGCTTAAACTTGTTGGGGGTAGATTTAATGCCCAGACCTTCACCATCAAGCGTGCACGATGAATCCACATCTGGGTAGTTTATACTTGCTTAAGTATTATATATACTATATAGTTACTGTGTGTGTGTGTGTAGATTTACATTGTTCTTTTGATTAACAACCTAGTGACTGAAGAGAATGTCAAGAAGTATGACAGACAAAACAAACAGGAGAGAAGCATGCGACTCCACAACCCGCCACTACACAACAACAAACTATGCTACGGCCGCTAGACGCTGACGGCCAGTAAATCCAAAGAAGCAAAAACTATAATTCAGAAAAAAAATTGAGTTCCTTTTTAAGGCCCAATTGGCGATTGTCTCGCCTCTATTTAGCGTGGTAGGGAGGTAGGGAGGTAGGGAAGGAGAATAGAGATGGAGGAAGAGGGGAAGGGTAAGGTTATATAAAGGGGTGGGAGAGACACCCGTCTACCTTTGTAGTGTCATCGCGTGGTGTAGTGTATGGGATAATATTCCCTCTCGTTTTGGCTATATTTTATCAAAATTTTAATGTGTAGATAAATATAAATGAGACAGTCTACTACTATTCCGTGACCACTATCATCACATCTAAAACCAGGGACCTGAATCGAACAAAGTTCATAACGGCTGGCTTAGAGAAAGGCAATATAAAGTTTTTAGAAATTTGGTCACATATTAGTTAATTACATAACCAGAATTTTGTGAGAAGTAAGAATAAGTTTGTCGGCCGATATGTACAATGCAAGTGAAGAATTGCTTTTCATCCAGTGAAAACTGTACGTTCTTACCCATTATAACGAAGAGCAGAACAGTTAGTAGCCCTGGTGAGGTATGTATCATGCTGAACTGAACACCACATTTCCGACACTCGTAAACTTAGTACACACAGAATGCATTTAAACTGACTATTGAGCAACCAACAGTCGCCAGCCAAGAATTGCGGGGAAATAGTTGGCAAAACATGAATATTATATGACTGCCAGACTGGAAATAGCTGAAGAGTTTCTTCACAGTGGTATACAAGTATTCCAGAGAAGACATTCAGGAACTTCATTCATTAGTGCGAGAATTTCCTCCACTGTTGAAAAGATCTTGTTGTTCAGGAAAAAGTAGAAAAGTATACAAGCAAGTTCTAAAAAAAAAGAGCAATCAGTCTCTTTTCATACACTCTGAGTAAACTGTGTATAGATATGTCTTACCCTCCTACTGACGGAAAGTTCACATTCACCAGAGCTGTACAGATAAATGTATTTAGACAAACGTTTATACTATCAAAGAAAAACATCATCTTGGAAAGGGCCCTTTTATGCCTGCTTATAACGCTGCCTTGTACACAACAGCTGGTAAACCAGTAAACCAGATAAATCAACAACATGTCTTCAAAAACTAGTTAATAAGACTGAATCTACACCCAGAAATAGAAGTAGAAACAACGTGAATATAATCGAAGGAAATGCCCCGCTTGAGTGTACGATAAAGGAGCTGAGATTGTTCAGTCGAGTCACCAGAACCTACCAAGCTGTAGGGAGACCGGAAATTATTTTTCACAAACGGTGAAAACAGAAAAACATTTGTTCATGTTTCTTCCCAATAAGTTTGAGAGAAAACCATTTGCGCCAAGAATAGTGGACCGGCAAGATTTGTTCCTCTGAGAACCAGACTGTGGGTCTTTAACCAATCTTGGTAGACATGAAACACAAATCCAACATGTAAAAGAGCTTTGACAACGGTATTTCTTTCAGAGTTTCACTGCTTCACAGCATCCATGCAGCACATTTGCTTCATCTCCAGACATTATTACATACCGACGTGTTTGTTTTATTACTTAACTACTGTATATTATGGTGATCAAATACCTGTTGAAACCTCAGTATGATGACTCAACTATAGTATATACATAGGTTAGGTTAGATGCTGGCATTAAACATGATATATGGGCAAAATGTACAGGGGTAATTAGTATAAATGAAGGAAAATGTTCTGTCCAGTCTGTTTTATACACGTCACGTATACAGTATCGCATTTTATATCAAAAGGCTCATAGTAACTTGACTTTAAAGCTGACCTACTGTGGCTGTAAAAAAATGGATTAATAACAACAGAAATAATAAGGAGATAGAGAGGGAAGCTGACATTGTTAGTTCACACTTGAGTTATTGTCCACTTAGCCAAAACTCTTTATCTTATTGGAAGCTACAGTATGAGACTATCTTGTTCCAAGCTACAACATTGTACCATCACTACTTGTACCAATCTACAACACTGTGCCATCAGTACATAACCCTCAGCTACAAGACGGACAGCCGCTGTCATACGCGCCATCATCAAGTTATCAAATGCTGGGTTTTGGGATCCGCCCCGGTGATGTGACCCAAAATGAAGTACCTCACGTTTACTCAACTGTCGTTCTTCACTAGAAGAAACTCAGGCCACTCATGATCTTCATCAAGCACTGTACTCACATGCTATTGTGTACTCGGCTCTAACTCATCATATATAAACTAGTAGGCTTATGTTTAATTCAACTCACGACTTTACTCACTATTGAAGGTGTACTGGAGGGCTGCCTTCTGGTTGCAGAGGGCAGCACACATGATCTCGGAGACGAGGGTATAGATGTTCTGAGTTAAGACCACTGGGTCCACCTCAGATACACAGTGAGTCTTAAGACCGATGGGTATCTTGATCCTCTGAGCTCCCACAATTAGGATAATGAACGCCCACATCCACATCATCGTCCACTTGTCTGCTGGCTTCATCCACTCCCAGGAAGCCATCATCAGAGTGCTATGTAAGAAGACATGGCTCGTGTGTGGTGTCAAAACAAAACATTCATCGAGTTCATCCGAAAGTTGTAAAGTTGTAATAGAAATAAATCAAACCATGAAACTCTCTCTCTCTCTCTTATATATATATGTATATATATATATATATATATATATATATATATATATATATATATATATATATATATATATATATATATATATATATATATATATATATATATAAATAATAGGGGAAGGAACTTCCCCTTTTATCTGACCCTGGGTGCAGGAGTGAATGACGGGTTAAACTCTGGGAGTCAGAAATTTCCCGGGTGCTAGCCGTCACTAGGGACATCACCTCTCCAGCATTGGGCGTAGTTGGGGTGTTTAACCAAGTCTGGTGTGAGGTCAACGGCCCTATGGTTGATCTCACACACGGGACGTACGAGTTCCTCTTAAAAAATTGGTTGGGCTTTAGTGCTGGGAAGTACGGTGTGTTCTGAACAAATGTGTGAAGCATGTTACGGGTATTGGTGGAGGAATGCTCCCATGACTCTTGAACCAAGAAATAGAGTATTGAAAATAAGCAAAACACCCACCTGCCTGACGGGTCATGAGTGATTTTCTCGGTTTCTTGTTAGTGCATGCCACTGGGCAGGTTATTAGTTACAACCTTCGGGTTCTGTGTATTTAAGATAGTTAGGATTAATAGTATTTTGTGGGTCATTCCACACAGGCTATGATTGATCCATGTTCTTGTGTATTATGACTAAATCAGGTTTTCTATTTCTCAGGGATAAATATTAGTTGTCTAATGAAATTGAGGTATTCTCTATGGCGTAAGTGATATTTTTTTAATATTTTATTTGCTATTAACAGTGGTGTATGGTGATGGAGGATGTATTGAGGGATTGATCCAGAGAAGTTCCTTGTTCTTGTGTGTGTAAAAAAATGTTTGTACTATTTTTTCTATCAAGCCTAGTTAGTCCAGCTCACAGTACAGCCAGGTGAACACTGCCCCAGCTGAGAAAAGGGTTCTATTTCCCGTTGATAAAATTTTCCCTGTGGTGTTGTAGGCTTCTATCTGGGAAAGACTCAGGTGAGCCGGGTCTACCATCACTACGCTACGGCGGTTCGTCCAGTTAGTTATCAGGGACAGCTACCCACTCGTCGGTCGGTTAGTATCCGGCCATTAGATAGTCATCCACCAGGTTAGATAGTCACCCGCCTGTTAGGTGGTTATCCGAGAACTAGGTAGTTATCCAACAACTAGGTAGTTACCCGACAAATGGGTAGTTATCCGACAACTAGGTAGTTATCCGACAAAGTGGTGTCTGCCTACTCCTGAAAAAATGGAGGGCTATATTAATTACTTCTAAATTATTCTCCGCCCTAACTGAACAATGTCTGAGATCGAATGAAGACTTACTTGTACACAGTTGAAAGCGTGTGCCAAGGACGCAGGCCACCTTGGTGGAGCACGGAGTGACGCGTCCGTCTAGGTCAATAGCCACCAACAGAGTGGCCTCTTACAGGTGACCAGCTCTCTTTTATTCCTTCTTAGGGAAAGGTTAGCACTATTTTTAATATTTGTTTACCTTATTAATTGGAACCGAGCTTTCCTCGTGAGGCATGACGTCATCCCTCCGAGTATTTTTTATTAGACTCTTAAGGACACACGTACCATATTTTGAACTGGAAAACTATCTACAATAGATTTTAATTTTTTCTAGTCGTCCTTTAACTTAATAAATCGCGTCTACATTAGTTTGATAATGTACTATTAATTTCTATAGGGCTGGCGGGCCACGCAGTAGTTCAAAATGCCTTTGCCCCCTGCTTGGGGGCGTTTGCTTGCAAGCTTTTTTTTAACTCGTCACGAGGTATGAGAGTTTCAGCCTGGACTACTTATGTTTCCCTGATCTGCAGATCGGTAACTTTAGTTCTAACATCTCTAAATATCACAATACAATTTATGAATATTATATATATATATATATATATATATATATATATATATATATATATATATATATATATAGCCCAATAAACGCGGACTTCTACATATATATATATATATATATATATATATATATATATATATGCAAGTAAATCACTGTAGCGCGTGATCTAGGTATATGCTGATAACCACAGGAAGAAAAGAAGTTCCCAAGCGATTACCCGTGGTTGAATTCAGCCTCTCTGTATATATATATATATATATATATATATATATATATATATATATATATATATATATATATATCAGAACAATACCTTCAGAGTTTGGCAACTGTAGAGACAGAAATAACTGTTACAACAGCAGGACAGACAGCAGCAGAAACTGAAGGTGCGTCTCGTCCCAAGTCAGCCACTGTACTAAACTCTGGCTCAAATTCGGTCGCTCGTCAACCTCTGCCTACCAGAAGCAGCCTGTAGTCGTTGTGAATAAGACACAGAGGAACACACAAACAAAAGCTGGACAACAATAACTAACATACAACAGAAGACAACATCAACAGATAAACAACAGTACACACAAGCAGCAGTTAGAGGTATTAGCATCATTATATAAATGGATTCCCTATTGGTCAAAAATTCCAATAAACACTTATTTATATACCTCATAGAAATCTTACTCTTCCTGAAATCCAAATCTCAAAAAAAGAAAAAAAAGAGAAAGAAAGAAAATCAAATATATGTTCATGTTTCGGTAAAATAAGTTTCTTCTTTTGTGACCAATTCTGGAAACGAGCTGCGAACTTCTCCTGGACGTCTGTACTCCACAAAGTCCTAAACCCGGAGAGGAAAGTTTTGAGGCAGTTCTCAGGTTTCTCAAAACCTAGCAAATGGAGTTATTGACAAAGTTCAGGGTGGGATTTTGACTCTGTTTATTGAGGTTAACTTAAGTTGTCGGCAAGGAATTTAGCAGAAAAGAGAATGTGAGAAAGAGGAGGCGATATAAAAAGTTAAGAGAGAGAGAGGAGGGGGGAAAGGAGACGGACAGAGTAAGTTTGGAAGGAAGGAAGGAGGGATGGAGGGAAAGAGGCGTCAGATGTTACCTACAGTGGAGATAAAAGACAAAATATGACACAGTTAAAACAAACTTTCTACACTCCTTCCTGTCCCCTCTTTCGTCTTTTCCCCCTCCTTCACCCTTTCTCATCCTCCCTCGCTACTTCTCTTTCTTCTCATTCCATCCCCTTTTTTTCCTACCATTCTCCCCCCCTTCCTTTTTCCATAAGCCTTTCTCTACCTCATCTCTCTCTCTTCCTTCTCTATCCTTTTCTTTCCTCCTCTCTCCGTCCATTCATGTTTTCTAATATATCTCATCCTCCAACCATTCTTTGCACTCTGTTTCTTTCCCTACTTCCTTCTATTCTTTTCTCTTATGGATCTATACACACACACACACACACACACACACACACACACACACATCTATATATATATATATATATATATATATATATATATATATATATATATATATATATATATATATATATATATATATAATGTTCTTTTGCGCCCTATAAATCACTATCACCTCAACCTTTTCCCTAAAACCTCGAAAAGTTTTCCTTGTGGGTCCATTCACTTCTCTTATATATTCACAAACTTGAGTCCGTAAGATGGTAACTTTTGTTTCAAACTAACAAACTTTTTTTTCCTCAGGTCCGGACTTCTCTCTTTTTGGAAGCTGTCTCACTCATTTGCATGCACAGTGTCTTTTATTTAGCTCGTTTCGATTCAGAATGTCGCTGAAGCTTCGAGTAAAAAATGAAAATCATAAGAATTATAAGAAAGAGACATTAAAACGGTGGCTCGAGAAATGGGCCCCAGTCTTTATACACCCTAACTGTGGCCTATTACTATTGAGGTCTATTAGTTAGCAGGCAAAAAGTGACCAAATCACCTACACGCCACAAAGTTAAACAGACCATAACTCTGTAAAGTAATAACACAACATGGTGGTTCTCGAACACTACGTTTGGTTTAAATCCCTCGATACTTTTTCGAGTCAACGTGCTCAGAGCCCCAGGGTGACGTACGGACGGAGTGACGCTAGGGCCGGTGTACTGTACGCAGATAAACATCATAACTAAAGCATCCCTCCCGAGGCGGCGGGGACAGCAGACTGTGACGTGACTATAGTCAGGATTGAGAATTAATCCTAATGCTTAGGTTAGGTCCTATTAGGTCCTAATGGCTAAGTTGAGGATAAGAGGACGGGGGCCCATTGGACCGGTCACTGTACCATCCACCCTTTCCTCATACGGCAGAGAGCGTCCTTGCGTCCCCACTCTAATAATGGCAGTATGTAGCACCGTCCTCAAGTACTGTCGTTCCTCTGCTGTAGCACCGTCCTCAAGTACTGCCGTTCCTCTGCTGTAGCACCGTCCTCAAGTACTGTCGTTCCTCTGATGTAGCACCGTCCTCAAGTACTGTCGTTCCTCTGCTGTAGCACCGTCCTCAAGTACTGTCGTTCCTCTGATGTAGCACCGTCCTCAAGTACTGTCGTTCCTCTGATGTAGCACCGTCATCAAGTACTGTCGTTCCTCTGATGTAGCACCGTCCTCAAGTACTGTCGTTCCTCTGATGTAGCACCGTCCTCAAGTACTGTCGTTCCTCTTGTAGCACCGTCCTCAAGTACTGTCGTTCCTCCTGATGAAGCACCGTCCCTCCCTCTGATGTAGCACCAGGCCCTCAAGTACTGTCAGTTCCTCTGCTGTATACCGTCCTCAGAATACTGTCGTTCCTCTGATGAAGCACCGTCCTCAAGGAGTACTGTCGTTCCTCTGATGAAGCACCGTCCTCAAAGTACTGTCGTTCCTTTGCTGTAGCACCGTCCTCAGAAATGCTATCGTTCCTCTGATAACACCCCGTCCTCAAGTACACTGTCGTTCCTCGATGAAGCACCGTCCTCCAAGTACTGTCGTTCCTTTGATGAAGCACCGTCCTCAAGTACTGTCGTTCCTCTGGTGAAGGCACCAAGTCCTGTCGTTCCTCTGATGAAGCACCGTCCTCAAGTACTGTCGTTCCTCTGATGAAGCACCGTCCTCAAGTACTGTCGTTCCTCTGATGAAGCACCGTCCTCAAGTACTGTCGTTCCTGTGATGAAGCACCGTCCTCAACTACTGTCGTTCCTCTGATGAAGCACCGTCCTCAAGTACTGTCCTTCCTCTGATGAAGCACCGTCCTCAAGTACTGTCCTTCCTCTGATGAAGCACCGTCCTCAAGTACTGTCCCTCCTCTGATGAAGCACCGTCCTCAAATACTGTCCTTCCTCTGATGAAGCACCGTCCTCACTCTACATGACGTAAAACACAGAGACTTTATTTCACCCAATCTTGGAATTACTCACGTTCGCTTCCTCTTATTTATTCCAGTAGCAGTTGTTTCTGTCAACTAACACGTCTTGGCAGCGTCTCGTTGCCTAACTCTTTTTGTGCCACCGCTTTCCAGTCTTCCTCTACTATTCCCTGGTTTCTCCTACCTTTCTCCAACATTATCCTTGTCTCAACAGCATGTCCTTTAAGCTGTTCTTTTTCTTCCCAGCTGTTTCCCCGTAAGAGCAATATCTGTTAGCTTGGTGGTATTAAAGTCAAGAGATGTGTCCCACCGATCTCATTCTCAGTGATTTCACGAGAACTGGTGATGAAGGAAGCTGACTGGCTGACACCTCTGTACTATTGTTTACACTGGGTCTCTCTTCCAGGATTCTTGTTCTTAGGATCTTATTTCTAGACGCTTCCAGATTCTTGGTTATTTTATTCTTTTAGTAAATACATTTCGTACAATATACAGTAGTACCATAGGGTTAATAACTATATTATATTTATGTATTCGAGATTATTTCCCGCCTTACTGATTTTGCCCCAAGAATATCTATCAGGTTCCAGGTCTTTTTCATATAGCCTTTAAAACTTTAATTTTACTTTATTTTTGTTGTTATTAAACCTTGTCAGTGATGCACCATCACTTTAAAAGCCTTCAACTTCTTTTGTAACCTTTCCCACAATTCTCCTCGGTTCTGTCTTCTCCTCTCTTTATTCTCATCAGTTTTCTCTCTCTCTGAGTTATACTTGATTCGATTCCTCCAGCGATCTATATCAAAACTGCTGCTAAGACTTAAAATTTTTCTCGATTTCGGAAACGTACGGAGCCACTCCTATATTATTTGTTTTGTTTTGGTTGCTGCGTCCATATATATATATATATATATATATATATATATATATATATATATATATATATATATATATATATATATATATATATATATATATATATATATATATATATATATATATATATATATATATAGTCGCTACCACCATTATTACTACCATCACCACCCATAGTCGCTACCACCACTATTTCTACCATTACCACACATAGTCGCTACCACCATTATTACTACCATCACCACCCATAGTCGTTACCACCATTATTACTACCACCACCACCCATAGTCGTTACCACCATTATTACTACCACCACCACCCA